TGAGCCACCCCGCCTCTGAAGCAGTCTGTGGAAGAGGGGTAACACTGAAGAGGCCCGTTGTGGAGGTGGGATACTCACTACGACACTGCATGGAGAGAATACTAAAACAGGACACGCCCCAGTAGTCTGCTGTCTCTGCGCTGTGCCCATGACCCCTGCCTAAACCTGGATATAGGAAAACCCTCCCGGAGTCTGGATGCCAAGTCCTGAGCCTGCAACCAAAGTGATGGCTACCTGAAAGTCCTCACAGAGAACAGGTGAGGCAAGGTGCCACCCCAGGGCCACCTGGAGGCCACTGGTGGGGGGGGGGTGTAGAGACCAGATGGACGTTTTCTTGCCATCAGCTCCCACAAGCTTTCCCAAACCCCTGTGGTCCTCCATGTGTATCCTGAGGTAGAGCGGCACAGCCTGTCCTGGTGTGGGTAAAAGGCCATGCTCCACCTGCTCACCCTGGACTTGAGGGGTAAAGACAGCTGAGACACCTCGGAGGTTGGCTGCAGTGGACTGCAGGACAGGGGTGTACCTGTTCAGATAGCAGGGGCACCCTGGACAGGACACCTCTTCTGAGTAGAAAGCAAGAGCCTGTTCTGGGGAAGCTGCTAACCCCACCTTGGGTACTCAGGAACAAGCAGGGCTGGACTGGGTTCAGGAGGGAGTTGGTAACACACCCCTTTGGCCTCCTCTGCCCTGAATCTCTCTCTGGAGGGACAGGCAGAAACAGCCCCTTCTCCCTCACAGTGACTCAGGCCAGGGTTGATCCAAGTCCTGGCATTGTAGAGACTGAGGTCACCCTCCTGGCAGCCGAAGACCCTGTGATGGACCAGGGGATATTCTTCATCCAGCTGCAGACAACATCTTGACCTTGGTGGTGACAGGGCCTGGCCTCCTGGGGCTCCTGGTGCAAGCATAGCCCTCTAATACAGGAGGAGCACATCCGGAAGCTGCCAGCAAGAGCACAGGCTGAGGATGGGCCTAATGAAACCCCTAGCCTGAGGATGGAACCAACAGAGCAGAAGCAAACTCAGGTCCTGGAAGCTAGCTAGTCCAGCCTCAGGCCCAAGGTCAAGAAAGTAAGACTAAGCTCCTGATCCTCCCCAGCAACCCTAGCAAAGCCTTCAGAACCAAGCCACCACCCTCAGGCCCACCCTGAGCCCAGGCTCTCCCACAGCTGGGCAAGGGTGGCATACCTCTCCTGCCTTTCCAGCTGCCTGGGGCTTGAGGCAGGGACAGGCCATGGAAGGCCTCCAACTCTAAGAGATCAAGAGGACTTGGTGGGAAGTGACTCCCCCAGGGGAGAGATGTGGAGGCCAGCCCACAGCTGGCTAATCCCAGCACCCCCGGAGTGTCTCTGGAGCTTAGCTGAGCCTGCCAGAGAGCCAGATGTCCCAGGCCCTGAACAGCTGGGTAGCTGGTGGCAGCATAGTTATGTTCTCTATCTCGAAGCCCAGAGCCCAGGGGTTGGAAGGACTTGTTGGGGGGGGGGGGGGTAGGCACTGGGCTCCTCAGAGGTCTGGGCAAGGAGGAGGCTCTAATGGAAGATGTACAGCTAGAGACATGCCACAGAGCCACACATCTCTACCCAGCTCAGGCCTGTGTCCCCAGGCATATTCTTAGGCTAAAGAATTCAAGTGTTCAGAAGCTGAAGCCCAGAGAGGGTGGTTCTGCCAAAGGCTGAAGCTCTCCACTCTGCTATGGTCTCTCTCCCTCCTACAATGACTGAGTGCTTAGGGAACACTTACCGCATGGAAGACAGTCCCTAAAATCCTCCCCCACACCCCGGCAGGGAAACTCCACAACCCATTCCTTTCCAGAGGAGGAAACTGAGGCTCCAAGCTCATGACTTCCCAGGAGCACGCTAGCAGGATTTGAATCCGGGTTCTCAAAGCTGGATTAGCCATCCCCGTGCCTCAGAGAAGCACCTACATTCAAAGGTGACCCAGAAAACAGACTTAAAGCTAAAGCTATTTAACTCCTGGAGAAGGGCCACATGGCTTCTGTCCGTGGAGCCCAGGAAGAATATTTAGTGGCCCAATAGTCCCGCCTTCCTGCTGTCAATCAACTCTGCTCCCTCCAGGCCAATCACTTCTACCTGCTCTGTGTCCCCTCCTCTGCCTGGCAAGGGCTCCCCTGCCCCCAGAGGCAGACCCTCAGCAACACGCCACCCATGCCAGGGAAACTCCTACACCACGTGTCCCTCTGGCAACTCTGGCAACCCATACCTCCTCGCCTCCCCAAACGGCGGATCCATCACTGAGTCTCAGGAGTGGAGGGGAGAAGACACACAAAGGCTGTCCTACGCAAGGCCCAAGAGGATCACCCCATCCCAGCAACGGCAGTTCTCTCCATCCTGCCCGTCATGTGACCACAGGACCCTGTGGTTCCCACAGACACTCTTCCCCTGCCCTCTATTGACGGGGTCTCTGTCATTCAAACATCCTTAGTTCAGCAGGACATTGGTGACTGCCTAAGAGACACCCAATCATCCCACCACCTTCCCCAGCAGCTCCAAGCCCTTCCCTTGGCTCTTCGCTTGCTCCCGAATTCACATCTCCTCGTCATCCTGTGATGACTAACTGTACCCCCAAACGGAGGAGATTCCAGTCCTAACCCACAGATCTGTCAATGGAACCGACCTCATTCAGAACCAGTGTTTCTGTAGATATATGCAGACATGCTCAGAGTAGAGAGGAGTGGACCTTCTCCTGCTGGAGGAGATGCAGCGGGAGGGAACCCCGGTGAAAACAGCTGGGGTCGTGCTGAGCGGAGGCTGAGTCTGAATGCACAGCAGCTGACAGCAGCCTCAGGAAGAACACATTCGCATATAGGCTCGTGTACACACACACACACACACACACGTACACGCACATACCCCCCAAACACACACACGCAGGTTTCAGGGGGCCAGGCCTCACTGAGTCTAACTCTGAAGTTCCAGCCTACAGGGAATCCCAGTCCTAATGTTCTGGGCCACCCTGTTTGTGAGACTTCATTATAGTGGCATCCTGGGAACTTGGATGCACCCCAACCAGAGCTTTACATGGCATTCAGGCTCTCACAGCCCCCCATTTATTCCCACTATCTGACCTCTGGGAATGGCACTAGGCATATGTGCACACAAACGTAGCTGACAAATAAGTCACAGCACCCATTGTTTCATCAGTGGTGTGGCCTTGACTTCCACGAACACCGCCTGGCACAGCTTGTGGGTCTCTGGGCCTCCATCACCTTCTAACATGGGATACAGAAGGTATGCGCAGGCACGGGATAGAGAAGCTCCCTTCTCTGGAAAAGCAGCATGAAAAGTTGTGGTATCAGGAAGCCAGTTCTGCACAGGTAAGAGGTGACCTGCAGACCAAATGGCCCTCAGGGAGAGATGGGAGAAGAGGGTGTGTATGGCCATGACCAGTCAGCCATCCCAGGTGGGCTAGGCAGGACCACATTCCCAAAGTTGGACCTCTCCATGAGACATTATGAGAGGCAGGTCTGGAGACCAGCTAAGAGCCCTGGGCACAGGTGGCGGCCCCACTTGTTGGCGAATAACCGCTGGGGTGTGTGCCTTCTCTAAGCCATCGACCTTCAAGAAAGATCAAACACGTGGTCTGGCTAAGAGTCTCGATGCCCGGGGTGGGTGGCTCAGTGGTAGAGCACTTGCCCAGTTTACACGAAAACCTGGATTTGATTCCAAGCGGCTCTGTAAACAAAGAGTCCCTACAGTGATGATGTTCCCAAGTACACAGCAGGTGCTTGGAACTCCAGAAAACGGGCCAGGTCCTCTAAATGAGGCCGGGCCTGGGGACCAAGGTAAGACCCACAAGATACCAAGGCCTTATGGGTTCTAGGCAAGCCCTCTACCGCTGAGCTACATCCCCAGACCTTATTTTACCTTTCAGTGTGAGACAGGGCGTCACCAAGACATCCTGATCCTCCTGGGTAGCTGAGCAGCACCAGACTCAGTTCAAAACTAAACTTTTACCAGAGAGTTCTTCAGAAGCTGGGCCAAGTCCCCGTGGCTGGCCTTCTCGGTGCTCTTAGGACACTTCGATCGTGCCCATTGCACAGACTCCTTACTTCCAAGTGCTAGTGTCTGTCTGAAGTGACTCATGGGTCACTTCACATGTGTCATGGGTCACCAGAGACACACCACAGAAGTTGTGTCCTTAGCCACCAAGACGAGCTGCCCGACGGCATTGCCCTGACCAGGCTTCCCTCGTCCCTGTTCCCGTCCTAGCCAAAGATCTTCCCACTAACTCCTGTGCCACCATGTCTGTGGGGACGACAGAAGTTCACAGCCTCAACAAAAGCCTGGTCACAAAGAAAGGCAACCTCAACTGCAAAGCAGCTTTGGGATGTACGTGAGGGGCAGCCCCCCATCATCTCTGAGCTCTTTACTTTTCTCGGGGCCCCAGAAGTGCTTTCGAAACAAACTTTTGGTCCCTGACCTAGCAACTCTTGGACAGCCAAGAGTTCTCCAGCTGTTTGCTTTGGTTTGTTTGTTTTTGTTTTTTCTTTTTTTCCGCTCCCCTTAGAGCATTTGATTATAAATGGTCATTTTTATTGGTGGTCTGACATCACCCTGGACTTAGAGCGGTGAGCGGAAGAACCATCAACACCAGCCCTCCCTCCCCTCCCCCTCAACACACCACCAAATCTAGACCATTCATGTAGGCCTGTCTAGAGAGGCACAGCCCCAGGCTCCAGGCTTCCTGGTCTCCCGATATCCCTGACCAAGTCTGTGTAGGGTCGTAGTTTGAAAGAACATGCACACATCATACACTTTAAGATGGTCATCTGGTCTAGGGCCCAATAGTGAAAGCCACCAGGACTGTTCCTGGCCCCACCCTCTGCCTCTCACCCACTCCTTTCTCTGCAGCGAGAGGAAGCTCAGCACCCCACTCCCACACAAAGGCAGAACCTACCTGCCTGAGTGCTCCTGGAGCACCCAGCAGACTCGAACCTACCTGCCTGAGTGCTCCTGGAGCACCCGGCAGACTCGAACCTACCTGCCTGAGTGCTCCTGCAGCACCTGGTAGACTCTGATCTGGAAGGTCTCATTGTCAAAACGCTCCCGGATGTAGTCCTTATAGATTCGGAACTCAGCTGCAGTCACGGCTTCCCCCTCGGGGATCTTGGAAAGATCGAACCGGAACTCCCGATGGTGGTAGCGGGGGTGGAAGAATTCCTTGTCATGTTCCACTGGAGGGGAAGAAAGCACACCAGAACCGAAGACATTTAGTATCTGGTTCATCTCTGCCCGTGCAATTGACCTGAGCTGGGTGGACACTGCCTTAGGGAACCTTTGTGAAAACCTCACATCCCATATAGACACACTGTGGACCAGATGGTCACAGGCCCAGACCTTAGGGACATCTTGAGCAACAAGAGCATAGCTCTGTAGCCAATTTGCTGGGGAAACTAAAGCACTGACCACAGAAACAACCACACCAGCCTGGAATCCTAGAAGCTCGGGACTGGGTTCGAATGCAGCCTCAGCCACTAAGAAGCACTGCGGCAGTGAAGAGTCCCGATACCCCGCCTGAAGCTCCGTGTTGCCATGTGGAAAACGAGGCTGTGATGTGTGAGGGACCTAAGATTCACACAAGAGACGGATGATGTTATGGCAGGTAACTGCCACTGGTGAGAAGATGCACCTTGGTAGGCCTGTCCTGGGACAGCGTAGGACAGTGGTTCTCAGCCCTGGGAGGCATAGAAGAATGACAGAGGATGCTTTTAAAAATTAGAGATGTCTGGTCATGGTCTGCTTGTGTTATGACCAGCTCTGCCATCATGAGAGAGTTCAATCACTGACACAAAGGCTCCTCCCAGATGGGAAGAGAAGCCACACCGTGCTGCTCGTGGCCCACCGTGCCAGAGAGAACTCTCCAGAAACCTTCGGCACGCCTCCCAGTGTCGGCTCTCCTCCTGTCCTCTGGAGCACAAGAAGCCCATCCCTTCCACGCCAGCACATGGGAAAGGCGAGCCAGCATGACAAAGAGGCATCAGAGATGCCACCAATCCCTAAGAGGGAAGACAAGCAGCTGCTGAGATCCAGGCAGTCTCCTGGATAGCAAGAGAGCCTGGGGAGGTGGCCCCAGGACAAGGAGGCAAGGCAGAAATCCTCGGGTCTATCCTGTCCTCCGCCGGCTCCTCTCAGTCCGCCCTCATTTCATGTCTGTTACTGTGATAACACATCCTGCCACAAAGCAGCTTAAGGGGAGGAAGGGTCTGTTTGGCTCACGGGTCCTGGTTACAGTCCGTCACAGCAGAGGAGGCAGAGGCAAGAGATTGGTCACAGGCAAGAGCACAGAGAATGAATGTACCCATGCTGCCCGCGAGCTTACCAGCTTTCCTCGTTCTTACACAGCCAGGGCCTGACTGCCTACGGGATGCCAAGACCCATAGAGGGCTTGGTCTTTCCACAATAATTAGCAATCAAGATAGTCCTCCACAGACATGCTCACAGGCAACCTGATGTAGACCATTTCTCAATGTCCCAGTTGATTCTAGGCGGTGTTAATAGGTAAAATTAACCAGCAGCGTGCCTGAGCTACCTGAAGAAGGGAGCATAATGCAGCAATGGCCAAGCACACACCTGAGACCCAAGGGTGTCGAACAGCCTGCCTGGAGTCACACTGCCGGGATTTAAACCAGGACCTACCAAACCCAGGACCGTTACCACCACATATGCCTATAGCAACAGTGAGGACAGTTTGGTGGGATCAGTTCTCTGCCTGTTTAACAGATGTCACATTGTACCATTTACATGTATGTAGTGTGTGCATGAACCCCACATGCATGCTGCCATGTCCCGCCATGATGATAATGGATTAAACCTCTGAAACTGTAAGCCACCCAATTAAACATTTTCCTTTATAAAAGTTGCCGTGGTCACGATGTCTCTTCACAGCTAACTAAGACAATACTCTTTTCCCAAAGTGTGCTGCCAGGGAGAGTTGTCAAGGTACACACAGAACATGAGCTACAGGAGGACAGTCCTATGAAGGGGACAGGGAAAGATGAAGCCACAGGGGGCTTGAGGCTCGGGAGGTAGCCACAAGTCCCAGAGCATCCTGTGCCACAGTGAACAGCCAGTACCTACGCCCACACCACCCCATCTGCTCACCTCAGGGAGGAGCTTCCAGGGAACACCCCCACAGCATCTCCGCCCCAGCAAAGTCGCTAAAGACCACACAGTAACCAGCTGGGACATAAATGGTCGTCCACAGTCTTGCTGGCCTCCAGGAGGTAGCATTCAGCATGGGACCCCAGCATTTGAATGCTACCTTTTCTTTTCTCTTTCACCAGGAACTATTAGGGGCCTTCTGACTCCCCAACCATCCTCTCGGTCCTCACTTCTGTCCGCCTTGCAGGCATTCCCTCCCTCAGGCTTGGTCTCCTCACACTCTTCCGCCTCCAGGGAGAGCTCATCTACCCAGAACATGGTTACAGCCCACAGGCAGATGGTTCCCTGCATGCAAATGAGCCCACCTACAGATGACCGCCTACATGCTAATGGCTCCCACATGGAGACAACTCCGCATATAAACAACCCTGGCACATATGTGGCTTCCTCTCATACCTGACTGTCTCCCCAGCCTCCAGCTCACGCACACAGATCCTCCCTTTGATACCTCCAGTTGTAGGCCTCACAGACCAATGACGAGTCACTCCCAAAAGTCATTCATAAAGACCCCTAGTCAAGCCCAGCTGTCTCCTGACTCTTTGTCACCTGGGCCAAACAACCCTGCTCTGCTCCCTGTCTGCTCCACAGAACCCCCACAGTCACCAGGATACACCTCTTCCCTTCTCATCCTAAGGCTCATGGGCCCTCTCCAACTGAACGGTGGAGTTTGGGTGACTTTGCCTACAGATGGGATCAGGCTATCATGGGAGCTTCTGCTTAGGTTCCAGCGGTGCCCTGGAGGTCAGGAGATTGCTCCTGGCTCCATCCCTGCCACTGTGGAGAGATGGCCCTCACCATGAGACTTCCAATCTTCTTTCCTCCTCTTCCCACAGAAGAGACCAGGAACAACCCTTCCCTCCCCTCCTCTTCCCCTCCCCTCCCCTTCCCTCACTGAGTGGGACGTATTCTCCTGGACCACTGATGCTTCCAGGCTCAGCAAGGAGAGTCACCCTATGTCTGCCCAGGAGCACCTTGGGCTCCCAGCTGAAGTGAAGTCAGTCTCCAAAACTCTTTAGTCCTGAGCCCCACCCCCACCTCTGCCCCGGGCTTCAGAACAGTGCCACTGGGGGAAAAAAAAAGGATCAGCCAGAAAAGAAGCCAGTAGAGTGGGACCTCTCTCACAGCCAAAGATGGCTGAAGAAGCCAGAGATGCAGAAGGCGCATGTCTCGTTAGTGCTCGGAGATGCCCCCGTGATGCATAGCTTTGGCCATTGTCTAGGGGGGACCTGTGAGGTTGGAGGGATCCCTGCTTTGCAGGTGAGAAAACTGGGATTCAGGGAGGCCAATTAGCTTACCCACAGCACAAAAGGGGTGACTGTGGAACTCTGAGCCCTACGCTTTTGCCCTCTATTCTTTGAGACCTGGGGTCTTGGTCTTTGTTCTGTCACTAGCTCTGCGGCCTGGGTCATGTGACCTCTCCTCTTTATGGCCCTGTGTCCTCAGAGAGGAACAGTAATGGCCCTAGCAGCGTAGAGGGTGGCCCTTCAGCACACAAAGGGTGTCTGCCACTGTCAGGGGGTCTCTAAACAATGAGGCAGGGGAACAGTCATCAGTGGAGACAACAGGATGTCCCTCTGGGTGTTTACATCACAGGGTCACTTAGCAAAGAAAGAATCATGAAGCCACACAAATCAATAAACAAAAGGGAACTGTAGTAGTTACTTTTCTGCGACTGGCAGAAGGAAGGGTTTGTTTGAGCTTATGGTCCCAGAGGGTTAGAGTCCATCACTTGAGTGATGGTGGAGGTGGATGAGGAAGGATGGCAGCAGACAGGCGTGGTGGCTGGAGCTGGAAGCGGAGAGCTCACATCTTAAACTGCAAACAAAGCACGCGGTGGGGGCAGTGTCTAGGAAGGGCAAGATTAAAGAGCTTGAAAAGACACTGGAGATACATGGTAAACTGAGTGATCCTGAAACCCTGGGACTCTAAAGGAAAGTGCTATTCCAGAGCGGCCAGGACATCCTCACTGCTGGGGGAGGGAGGAGACAGGTTTTCGCAGCAACAGTTTTCCAAATCACCACATCAGTCAGCACAGCTCAAACAGAGACCCAGGCTTGGATCCAAGATCCAGCTGGGCGGTACCAGAAAGAAGTGGGTGGAGCCTATAGGGCCTTCCTGTCTTCACCAATGTGGCCTCTAAGCCAGGCAACGTCAAAGTCCCTATACTTGATGATCTTGAAGATTTATTATTATTTTTAGGTGTGTGTGTGTGTGTGTGTGTGTGTGTGTGTGTGTGTGTGTGTGTGAATGCACGCCATATGTGTGTGTGCCTATGCATGCCTCTGCAAGACCAGGACCTCGTGTGAATGCATGCCATATGTGTGTGTGCCTATGCAAGACCAAGGTGTTGAATCCCCTGGAGCTGGAGCGACAGGCATTGTGTGAACCAACTGATGTGGGTGCTGGGAACAGAACCCTGGATTCTCTAGCAGAGCAGCAAGTGCTCTTAACTCCTGAGCCAACCCTTTGTTCTCAATAGCTGTTGAACTTTAACGTTCACCTGGGGAAAGGTGGGTGATAAAACACCACCTCACCTCTCCACCTGCGCCCACGTCAGTCAGTCGTTGAAGACCCATTTACATTCCGCTGTCTCTAGACTGTTCATCTGGAAAAGGTGAAACTCTGTCCCCAGTAAATGCTCACTTTAGTAGCCACTCCCCAGCACTAGAGACCACCGGGTAAGTTTTGTCATTGCTAACTGCGCTCCTCCGTGGACCTCCTATCAGAATCTGTCCTGCAACTGGCCACTTCACTCAGCAATGTCTTGAGATTCATCAAGGTTATAACAGGCATCAGGATGTCCCTTTCCAAGGACAAATAATATTCCACCATACAGATAGACGACACCCTGTTATCTCTTCATCCTCCTGTAGAATTTGGATTGCTTCCATTCCCGCTGATGTGACAAAGGCCACTGTCAGTATAGATGTATAGGCAGTCCCTGGAGACATTGCTATGAATTCTTCCAGGCAGAGACCAAAAAGAGGACCGGTAATTCTGTCTGCTCTACTGC